GATATATTTTGCCTATCTTATAGTTCAGGCCAATTACACAGATTAATTGTAAAAGTTTCAATCAACCAGTTAAAAAAAAGTTTTATTTGTTAAACTGGTTTCATTTAATCATTTTATTTTCCTAAGATATTAGTTTTGGGTGTTGTAACAGTTTACATATTATTTAATTATCATAAACAAATTTTCTTTTTTAAAAATAAAATTTCATTAAGAACTTTGGAACTTAACTTTTTTTTTTTGAGAACTGAATGATGTGTAGCAAATGATTTTTTGTATATTTTTTTTTTCATTTAATTGCCCTATAAGTTTTTTTCTAACAGGATTAATTGATAAATTGGAAAACAAAATTGCATTATTTAAAAAACAACTTTATCATCACCAAGCTTTAGTGATCGATTTATCATGATTCAACAATAAAAGAATTTTAGTATTCTTTGAAGATTTAAAAGTAATAAAGATAAAAAATATAGTGTAAAGGTCGTTCTAAGTACCAGTATTGATCAACCTATGTTGCTACTAAAAACGGCTCAAGCACATTATTAGTATTACTATTATACGCAGTTAACTTCGAAGGTCGAAATTTTGAAAAACATCGATTTAACACATATGTATGTAGAAACAATTTTATTTTATAAAATGTAATAATAAAAGAATAGTGAGGAAAAAAAAATTAGTAGTAGTTTAATCAAGTAAAATTTCTCCCATGATAATAATTCTTTTCGCATCATTGCAATATACAATAATGTAATAATTCTTTTATTCATCCTCAGGATACATATTTTTACATAATTTGGAACTTTTGATAATCCTATTTTATCATTGTCATTATTGCTGCTTGTGTCAAGTGTTTTTACTTGCGTCAAGTGTTTTTTATTATGTCGAGTTTTTATTTACATAAATGGTTTGGTGAGAAACCACCTTTAGTCAACACATTAGTTATGTCAATGACTAAAGTCAAAATTCGTCATACATGATCGGGGTAGATAAAATCATTGATTAGGGATTGGATAATTGTGCACTTCATGTTCCGAGCCAAAATTATTATCAAATGAAAATTTTACACAAAAGCTCTAATAATTATTATTAAATTACTATGTGGAATTTATGGACATCAATATTGATTGATTAAATTACTTTGCAATAATAATAATAGACCTTTAATTTCATGAATTATTATTATTATGAATAGTAATAGGGAATAACTTTTGGTCTTTGCCTGAAAAAGCAGAGGGAAAAAATAGATAATTAACACTTAAAAATAAAACTCTGTGATAGAATCATAAACTTTTAAAAATAAGATACAAAAAAACATTGTTTTTATTTCTTTGTTTAAAACACTTTTATAAAGGCAACAAGTGTAGTTAGTTAGTTCATTGGTAAAAGGCAACAATTGTGGAGCTTTAATGAGCAAGCAAGGTTAGGTATAACTAGTGATGAAGTATTATCCAATGTTAATTGGAAATACTGGTAGCATTATTATAATAGTAAACGTGATAAATAAAATAAATTTATAGTGGAGATTAAATTAGTCATTCATCAATTGTTTCTTTTACTATTGCAACTAGAATTTAATGTTTATTAATTAATTAATATTGTTAGTAATGAGTAATTTCCAATTGATTAATAATGAAATTTTTAATCACCTTTGTTAGCATTTAGAGAAAAGAATTACAATCAAGATTATTTAACGAACTATTACTTGTATAACTATTTAGATTTAGCAATCTCATCATCTAATATTCTACTTGTGTGATATGCATCTGGATGTGATTTGTGTGCTTGTTGCAAAGCACTGCTACCACCATTACTAGTAGTAATACTACTATTATTTTTAATAATTTCATCACTTTTATTATTAGCAAACTTCCGAAGTTCTCTACTAGTTGGTCTTTTTGATGGATCCACATCCCAACACCTCTGCATCATTTGCACATAATCATCAAGCATTCCAGGTAATATTGGTGGTCGTAAACCTTCACATATTTCAAAAACCAAATGATGATTGTGAGCTCTATCATCAAATGGTGGATGACCTGCAAATATTTCCCACATTAACATCCCAACATTATATATATCGGTTTCTTTTGTGCTCTTTGTGTTATTGCCTCTAAGTAGCTCGGGTGCAATATATGATATGATTCCATAGACTTTATGAGTTTTCATTAACTGGTCCACATAATCCTAAATCTGTAATATAACAACCACCTCCTGCCATAAGTATATTACCACTATGTAAATCACAATGGATTAAATCTTTCCAGTGTATTTGACATAATGCATCACATAAATAATCAAAGATTGTAATTCTATCTTTTAATGTTAAATTTAAATGATTTTTTTGCAAATAATTCCTTAAATTTCCTTCTGATAAATAATTTAAAATAATTGCATAATTTCCATTATCTGGGAATTTAGTTATACCATAACACTTAACAATCATATGTGATTTAATTTTACAATAATTCAATGCCTGAAAATAAATAAAACCAATCAGTATTGTATTATTTATTTTGTTTTAAATGACAATTACAAACCTCATCAAGAAAGCCTTTTCCTGAATTACTTAAATCATTTAAACTTTTTAATATTACTAGTTGCCCTCCTAAATAATTAAACTTCTTTTTATTTTTGTTGTAATCAACAATAGTTCCTCTTGTCCATTCAGCAGTAAAAATTGAACTAAATTCACCTTCAGTTAACTTTGTTACTTTTTCTAATTGCTCAAAAGGTATCCATTCTAAAATATATCCTGGCAGGGATGATTTCATTTGACATTGTTGAATAAAATCATCAATTATGTTATTTCCAGATGTCCAAGTAGTGAAAAGACTCTGTAATTGTAAACTAATACAACCTTCACAGAACCTATGAGAGTAACTTGTCAATTTACACTTGTCACATTCCTTTGGTTTGCGCAACTTGTACATTGCATTATGTAATTCAAACTCATAAATAAACCTTTTCTTACAATATTCCTTTTCGTTTTCAGAAAGTTCCTTGTTTTTCTTGACTAATGAAAAAAAATAATCTTTTCTACTTTCTCCATTAGAATTAACTGCTGCATTATAATGAATTTCAATATAAATTTTATATACAAATTCCCTTCTTTTTGATGATAACGATGATAATGGTTTATAATGTGACATTATATAGAAATATAAAATATAAATTTGACTTGGTGTGAAAATTTTTTTTGAGAATAACAGTTACATTATTTCCTTTTTAACATATACTATTACAATTTCTTTCTCCGTAGATTTTAATCTTACAAATTTGAAATGTTTGGTTGCTCAACTGAATTGTTGGGGAAGGGTGAAATCAAAAATCAAGGGGTAAAACTTTGTAATGAGTCGTTTTTCTTTTTGCTGCACATATTTTCGTTTTCCAAAAGTGATAAATGGTTGTTTTTATTTTTACATTACCGTATTATGCGAATTCCTATTTCTATCTATTTGGCAACCGAAAAATTTATCTATTTTTGTTCAAAACATTAGGGTTGAGTGAAGCAGATACTTGACCGAAAGAAAAATCATGTTTCGCTTTAGATGTTTTTTGCTGTCTATTGTTCGTTACCTATCATTTGATGATCTGGATCGGAAAATTTTTATTTTTTTTAATTCCTTTCGTAGAAAATAAATAAATTGCATTGATTTAATCTTTGCAAAGGAGGGGGTTTTTTAATTAAGAAAAAAAGCTTAATTGATTTTTTTTTTAACGTAAACTTTTGATGTTTGCATGAATCCTATTTTTCTATAGCGATAGACTTGGAAAAAATAAAAATAAAAATTGATCCAATTGACCTTTAATCGGAGAAAACAAATAAAATCCATTGATTAATCTTTTCAAAGGATTTTTTTTTAAGAAAAAAAAGTTATTGATTTTTTTTTTGACAGTCGAAGTTTGTAAATAAATTTTGATGTTTGTATGAAGTTTATTCTTCCAACCCCCCAATTGATTCAATTGTCCTTTAATCTGAGATAAATAAACATACACGAGGCAAAGATCAGGATAAAAAAGATCTTTTTTTTAATTAGGAAAAAAAGCTTAGTTGATTTTTTTAACAATCGAAATTCGTAAACAACTTTTGATTCACACGAGGTTCTTCTTTGCAAAGGATTTTTTATTAATTTAGTGAACAATTTCCCTTTGTACGTGTAATTTTTTTTAAATAAAATAAATTTTTAGCTCAATGTAACGAATAGAATAAAAATATTGATATAATAATAATATAACTGACTAATATTGATGCTCCGAACAAATATATAGATACCTCGCATTTGAATGTAACGTGTAGAGCCAAATCATACATATAACGCCATCTCAACACTACGTGCCTCGGCCTCAAATTTGAATGCAACGTAAAAGAAATCTAATGTACTATTTTTTGCAATTTTTTGGTCATAAGTAGTGGAGCGAATTTATTTATATGTTTTTGTTGTAATTTATTAGGCTACTCGATAAATGCACCATATGGCCATGAAATAGTCTAATTTTATTAAAGATCGCATCATTAATCATGAATACATGATAGTATGCTAAGACTCTTCGCATTCAGTGCAAATTTTAATGTTCCGAACGAATATATATGTGTGTGATTGAGTCGTGTGATTTTATAATATTATGATGATTGCTTTAAGTTTTCTCTGACAGAATTAATTGATAAGGATATAAATTGAAAAGAGAAAGTTGCATTCTTTAAAGAACAACTTCATCATTAACAAACTCTAGCGATCGGTTTATCATGATCCAACAATAAAAGAATTTTAGCGTTCTTTGAAGATCTAAAAGTGATAAAAATAGAAAACAAAATTAAAACTTACAAAGATATGTATCAAAGCCTGGGTGTGCTATGTAAAAGGTCGTTCTAAGTGCCAATATTGATCAATCTATGTTGCTTCAAACCCAGACACTAAAGATAGCTCAAGCACATTATTAATACCGGTCTTAGGGAAAGATAAGGCCTATCTTATAGCAACCCATGTAAAAGCTGTTGAAGCCTTTCACTTGCTCAAAGCCTTCCAACTTGCTTTTAGTCGAATTTTAAAATGACTCAATTCAATTCGAATTCAAAAACAGGATTCATGACTCGATTCGACACGATTCGAATCAAACCGGATTCCTAAATTGCTTTTAATGTCATATTAATATGGTTTCTATCGAATGGGGTCTAGTCGAATTATTTATTGTATTCGTTATGAATTTGAGTACTCGAAATGCATTGAATGTTTATTCGAATAAATGAATAAAACGAATGAAATTTGTATTACTATTACGAATATTAATATTGATAAAAAAAAGTAATGTAATTTACACACGGTTGCACAATTCATTGTTTTAATTGGTTCGAATCGAATCGAATCAAAGCCGAAACGAATCAGAAATTTGGTGATTCGAATTCGATTCGGTTTGAATTTCATTGATTCGTTCGGAGCCTTAATTCCACAGTTATCAGGCGCGAGAGCATTCGTTGACGAGTTTGTGATAGGAAAGTTTTATTAAATCTGATACCTGTGATCAATATCATCAGATTTATTCGTGATTTTTAAGGAACTATACGATTGGAATGGTTTTTTGATCCTCCTGATCTTAATGGGAGTATAATTGTTTATGTGAATTCTAGATACCTGGATAGACACGCATTATTAAAAGTTTCATGTCTTGGTATTGCCGTTACTTGAACGATGCAATTTATCAATTTTATTTATTTGCTAATTTAAGAGCAATAGTATCAAATCTATTGAATAACCGCCATAAACATCGTGATAGATGTGTAGTATATGGGACAAAGGTGTCAATCATGTTTGTTAAATAGTAATAAAAGGCTAAGTCATATTTGTTTATTTATTTTTTGTTTAACCAAGATATATAATTAATTATGTTAAAAACATTTAGAATATAAGATAAAAAAATTGCCAATACTGCAACAATTGTAGCATTACATTAATAAAGCTATTATTTTGAATACATTTGTTGTAATCTTACTGAAGGTAATAAGTTTGTGCATGATTTAAATTCTTTTGTGCTAATTTAAAGTTCGATCTTTCTTCAATTATTTAACCTATTGATTGGGTTCACTTTTGTGGGTAACATTTTATAAATTTAGTTATATCAATTTGTAACTTGGGTTCCAAATATAAAAGAAATTTGGATCATTGAAAACAAGTTCACGACTGAGAATGCATCAATTTTGAAAAAAATTTTTTTATCAAATACATTAATATTAATATGGAGTTCTTTCGGACCGTTTTGGCGTATCCATCTATGACATTTTTTTCTATTCAAAAAAAATATATCGAGACGTGTTTAAATTAGCCAATCGGAATTTAATCCAAATACCAAACGTATAAAATGATTATTATTTCCTGATATTTTCTTTAATCTCTTGGATCATATCTTCTGAATTGTCATTTTTTTTACTAAAAAAGAAAATTTTGCGAAATTTATTAAATTAATGATGAGAGGGTTTCTCAAGTTCGTTCTTAAACAAAACAATTATTTAAATCTCGTAATTCAAAAACGCTAAAAAGATTATTCAATTGTTATTAGTTCATCCGATCGACTGAATATACCACCTAATACTAAGTGTAGATTCTTGCATCCATTCGAAACTAACCTCTTTTCCCTCCAAAAATTATTACTATTCATTTTCCTATTTGCGTAATAATAATATTATATGGAAAATAAATTTTATATTCAGGAAAATTTTTATACTCTGGAAAATAAATTTTTATACTCGGAAAATTTTTATATATTCAGGAAAATAAATTTTTCATTTATTGATATGGAAAGAATATTTTTCATTCATTCATTATTTATTGATTTTTCATTCATTCATTTATTGATCTATTTATTATTTTTCATTTATTGATAAGGAAGGAGTATTTTTATTTATTAATATTAATATTCAGAAAAATAAATTTTTATATTAATAAAAAAATGGACCTCATTTTTGGCACTCCCGTAAGGGAAGGGCCAGAAAACTCTTTATTAATAATCTTTCCTAAATATACATGTTGTGTAATTTTATAATAATAATCGAATTAACAAAACACGTTCATATCATAATGTTAAAGTTGAGAAAGAGAAGGAGTTCGAGCGTTATTATTGCAAACACACATACATATATGATTTTCTAATTTTCTCAATAGTTTGTTAAATAAATTTTTTTTAAATTATATATATAGATAATAAATATTGATTAATAAATTTTGTTACAATATAATTATTACTGATTTTGTTTTATCTACTATTATTTCCACGTCGTTTTCTACCACCACCTCTATGAAATCTTTTATTTCCTCTAGATCTGCCACCTCTTGAGAATCTGTTACCACCAGTAGTAATTGTGTTTTTATGTATAATTCTAAAATAATCAATCAATAATTAAATTTACTATATAATAATGAGAATTGCTATTTCTCACCGGTGGTGATTGTCACTACCTAAGGAATTAAATTTGCGTGGGGCGGAGTTAGGGTTGGGGTTAATCATAAATTGTATAATTCCTTAGGTGGTGACAATCACCGCCGGTGAGAAATAGCAATTCCCCTATAATAATAATAATAATTAATAAATTTGATTGAATTAAAGAGGTTACCTATTCTCCAGTAATGCAATAACTTCTTCATCACATAAAACACATCCTTCGACAGTAGGACTATTTTCTTTTAATTGAATTTTTATAACGTTAACTTCACAATCTTCTTTTTTGCAAGATTCATTTTTCTTTACAGAAACTCCTAACAACAATAATATAAATTATAAATAAAAGTAAATAAATATATATATATATATCATTATTATTGTTGTTTGTTTACATTATGCATTTACATTTGCAAATGCTTCTACATTAAAGTCAGTGTTTGCAACTAAGTTGTAACTTGGGACGTTGTAGAATTTAGAACATAAGAATTGTAATATGAGCCTGCAACTAGTTGCAACCAGTTGCAGAATTTCAAATCAGTTGCAGACACCAATTTTATTCTACGTACCTTTTACAGTATCTTTAAATTTCACAATTGATTTGCAAATAGTACAATATAATTTAAATGAATTAGTAGATGAAGTTTGATCCAATATTAGTTTACCCTTACAATCAATAAAATCAGTTGACATTTGACATTGACAAATTGTATTAGTTATTAAAGAGTAAGTACAAGTTGGATGTAAACATTGACTACAATTCATTCCTAAATAAAAAATAATAAATAAATTTAAAGTTAACAAGTTTAGCAATATTATTACTATTCTCACATACCTTTTTTAACATTCTCAAATGGTGGATTACTGTAACAGTAGGGACATATGATGGTGGTTTTTCCATCTAAATTTGTGAATGTCAAAAGTTCAAACTCATCAAGAGGCTTATAATTAAAAAAGTAACATTATTAGTATTAGTAGTAGTATTAATAGACAATGAAAATATAACACCAGATTTATTAACTCACGCATTTCAATTCTTTAAATAACTATTATTTAAGAATAAAATTTCATAATCAATGTTATTAATAATATAAAAAATTCTTTGTTATTACTATTACTGTTACTGTTATTTTTTACCTTGATATTCCCATTTTGTGGTAATGAATAAGTTTCATTACAGACTGAACAATGCAATCTTTGAGGTCTATAAATAATATTATTAGTAATGCCATAATGATATTGATCTCTTAAAATTTTTGTTATTAGTCCACTTACTTCATTTGAATATATTTCATATATCTTACAACATAATAAATAATAATTAGCAAATTAATCTATTTAATAATAATTTATTAACAAGAAAGACTTAATTACCTTCTACATTTACCACATTTTGACATTACTTTACCAACTGAGGCAAGTGGAGAAAAATTTGCTTCAAATAATTCATCCATTAAATCAATTTTCTCTCCAAAATATTTAAATTTTTCAGCAAATAATTTTAGAAAATATTCTAAAAATTTTGAAAATTCAGCTTTTCCTGATGCAATATAATTCAATTGTTTTTCAATATCACTTCTCATTGTAGGAAGTGACAAATCAGGATCAATTTTACCTATATTAAATGCCAATTATAATAATTAAATTTAATATATTATTATAATCAAACAAAATATGTAAATGTTTTTTTTTATAAAAGGATACAATATCTATTTAAAATATTTATTTATAAAATCATTGATAAATATAATAATGATAATGAGATAATGTTAATAATACTAATTATAACCGTTAATTATATAATCATCATCATAATCAATTTACCCATGAATAAGCACAATTCCTAAATTTGTTGGAACTAATCTACGGTCATTTCCTTTAACTGTAGCATAATTTCTTTGGCATATATTATTAATATGAGTTGGTATGGATGCATCTGTACCAATTCCATGTTTTTCCATCTGAAAAATAATAAATAATCATTCAATCAACTATTTATTAAATGAATAATTAATATTATATATATTGTTTACCAATCCAATGACTTCACTTTCTGTAAAATAATCTGGTGGGCTTGTTAGTCCTTCTGTTAATTTATAATTTACCAAATTTAGATTTTCTCCTTTACGAAAATCAGGCAAATTTTCATCATTTGGTAGTTTACGCCTAGAAAATTTTTTTATAAATAATAATAATAATAATAATAATATTAATAGTGTTAATTCAAAATAATAATCAACTACTAATTAATTATTGATTACTAACCAATGCATTATTTTGGAGAAACCTGGTTCTATGACTTTAGCTCCAGTAATTTCAAAAGATTCATTTGCAATTTTTATTAAAATAGTATTTTCTTTCAATTTAATATTTTTACTTATAGATCCAAGAAAATACTTTGTTATAAAAGAGTAGACTCTCCACAAATCACCATGCAAGTCACCTTCATTTGCTAATTTCATTGGAGTTCTATAACAAAGAAAAAACAAATAATTTGAATAACTTAGATGGTAAATAGCAATATTAAATAATATTAACTTACATAGGAGGATGATCACCTAAAACAATTATGTTTAATTAACTGAACAAATAAATACACACTTAATAATCTATTAATTAATAAATTAATATATTACTTACCAACATCTTTTCCTCCTGTTGGCCTGTCTACTCCATTATCTAACAACTCTTTAGCATATGCTCCCCTTTAAAATTACAGGCATTAATTAAAAGTCAAGAAGAATAATAAAAGCAATTAATTAAAATAATTAAATATTAAATTTTACCATGTTGTGCTATTTACTTGAGTTTTCAAAACAGAAATTAAATCAAAATTTCGTGGATAACTTGTTGTTTCTGTTCTTGGATATGAAATATACCCTTGCATATATAGTTTTTCTGCATGTGACATCTATTATAAATAATGTCATTATCATCACCAATCTTTCCCAAAAAATATATAAATGCAAAATTACCATTTCGTGTGGACTAATTCCAAGATTTGAAGAACCAAATTTTAATAATTCAACAGTATTTAATGCAACTGGTCTATATTTTGTTTTTATTTCAGATGTAATGGCAGTTACTCTATTTAAAAAAAAAGAGAAAGTAATAAATCATATTATTTATATAAATATAATTATATAACATAACATTATATTATTATATACTTTATATCTTTTGAGTTTTCTTCTATCATTTTTAAAAATAAATTAGCAATTTTTCTATCAAAAATCCTTGATCTTTTCCATTTTAAAGATATATTGGCATTGTCTTTAGAAATTGTTAATGATAAAGTCCAATATTTTTCTGGTATAAAATGTTGTATTTGATCATGTCTTGATACACAGAATGATAAAGTAGGAGTTTGACATGGACCATATGAAATAACTCGAGAATCAAGATTTCCATATTTCTCATTAAAGAATTTTGTTTGAAATCTAGTAAAAGCACATCCAATCTAATAAATAAATAAGGCAAGTGGATGGATGGATGACAGTTGATAATGACAATGGTGGTGATGATGATGGTTATTTTAATTGTGATAACAGTAATAATTATACTTACTTTAAGATCAAGTTCTTGACGAGCATCCACAGCTAAATAAAAAAACCATTAATTAAATTAATAATAATTGTTAATATTATATTATTGTTATTATTTACCTAAGGCTTCATTTTTATTTGGATAACCTAAATTATTCATTGCTTTATGAATATCTTCATAAGTAATTGCTTTATGAAGTATTTTCAAAGAAAAATTATTATTTAGATCTTATTTAAAAAAAAAGAATAACATTAAGAAAATTTTATTCAATTAATCACCTGAAAACTTTGCTCTTAATATTCTTTGATTTTTAGTTTTACCATCAATTGATGATTTCATATTATGTATAACATTATCAATCACCTCAAAACAAATATTTTCACCTTCTCTGTCACAATCCAACCAAAGTACAAGATAATCAATATCTAATTTTTTCAAAAAAAAAAAAAAAAAAAGATTTTAAATTTTAAAATCATTTATATATATATATATTACAATGATGATATTAAATTTACTTTTTGACTCATTATTAAGATGTTTGCAAATTTTGCCCTATATTTAATCAATCAATCAATTATTAGTAAATCAATCAACCAATCAACAATCATTTTAATCAATTAATACTATTGTTCCTTTACATCAGTCTCTGATCTCATAGTTGGAGCAGTAAATAATGTTAATGGATCAATATTCCAATTATTATGTGTCTGAGTGAAATCCAAACTAGAATAAAAAATTGCATTAATATATTATAATAAATAACATTATTATTTATTGCTTATTTATATATTTATTACCCATAAACATGACCCTTAACTGATGTAAATTTAAATTTTGATTTTTTACCATGGAATTCACTTGTATATTCATGAACTGGTGTAATTGATTTTCTTGTATTACACTAATATAATACAAAACATTCAATCAATGTATTTATGATAATTTGAAATTTTAATTAATTGGTTTTCTTACTTGTCCATTAGGTGCTAAAATTTTTGATATTGATTCTGCAAGAGATGGTTTCTCTGCAACCTTTAAAAAATAGAACCATAAAATATATAGTTTAAATTGACCAATTTATTTAGTTATTAATTTATTTAATTTATTTTATTAATTTACCATTAGTACTGTGTATGACATTATTATTTTTTTTTTTAAAGTTATTTTAGCTATTAGTCAAAGGAAATGTCGTGCAGATCTTTTCCAGTAATATATCCTGCCTGCTCAATCCTGCCAATGAAAAATCAATCTGCAATACATATTTATAATGCACGATTTTACCATAAAAGATAGCCCGTTTCAAGAATTATGCTAACACACCCGCTTATTGGAACCTACCAACTTGTTCAACTTGAAGTTGAGAGAGAGATGTTTCATTACTATTTATTACATTTAGTATATAAATGTGTGTAACATAAAATCCGAATATTCGTGAACACCGCGGATAAAAAGAAGATTAGTTACAGTCAACCTCCTCTAAGTGCACCCTCTCTAAATGCACTCACTATGTAAACCCTCTCTAAATGCACGCCACGTCTCATTCCCAAACTTACAGTGAGATTATAAAATTACCCCCTCTAAATGCACACCCTCTCTAAATGCACGTCCATGAGAAATAGTGATATGTTCCCAAGGAGGGTGAACTTAGAGAGGGTTGACTGTAGTATTTAAAAATCAGATGTAGATCACCTGCGTTAAATTGAAACATAATCCACATGCATCTGGTGTCTGATGAGGATGAGGAAGTGGAAATGGAAGTTGAAGAAAATCGAAATGATTCACTTCTTTTAATTGGTGGTAGTTTATCTAAAGAGGTAAATATAAATATTTTATATTATAATTTAATAAATTATATTGATTTTTTTTTAATTGCTATTGTCATATACATTAGGTTGTAAAATATCAGAATTAGATGAATTGGCAAAGAAAATCGCAAGTGGTTCTACTGATAAAAGTCTCAAATTATTATTGATGCTAAATCAATTGAAAACAAAATAAACAGCAGGTAAATAGTTATTTATCTATATGCTATGCTATATATTCTATGATTTATATATATAATATATTTATAAATTACATGTATATATATTAATTTTTTTTCAGATATTATATTAAAGTCATGTAAAAAATTAACGAGAAATCAAATTATGTAGATAGTGAAATTGGTAGATTGAATAATATAATTTAAACTGGTAAAATGTCAAGTGGTAAATTAAAAGATTTCGCAGTTAGAAAAACCATTTTATCAAGTTTTAAGAAAGATAATGATGCAATTAATGAACCTCATGTTAGAATTGTAAATTATTATTAAAGAATATATATATTATATAAATTTTTTTTTGCTTGAAAGTTTTCATTTTTACTTTCAATTGAATGAATCACAAATTTTTCTATTAATAAGTTTCACATCATGATCTTGATTCTTTTCTGGCACCAAGGAGGAACAATCATTTATATTCGAATTAATATAACCTTTTAAGTTGATTTTATTGTCACTATAATTATTATTTCAATTTGTTCTAGTAATGATAGATAATTTATTTTTCATGTTATTTTCAGAATATCACAATTTCAATAATTCTTCACTATATCATGCATCAAGGTCTACATCAACCAGGCTTAAACTTAGTCATAAAACAGAATAGCATAGATCAAATATACCCATAATAATAACAATGCTTTCATGAATTAAATCAGCTTTTCAGTACCTGCGGTGTGTTGTATTGGAATCTTCACCAAGCATAAGTGGTATAAATGATGTAAGTCTTCACCTCAGATAAGAACAAATAGATGAAGTATCTTTCCAGCTACTTGGATTCCAACAATGCTGAATCACCTTCACCCATTTTGCAACCCTTATGAGTCCAATACATCCCATCATTCAATTCCTGCCACAGCTTCATCCAACCTCATAGTTCTTGATTATTATCACAAACCAGATGCGAGTATTTGGAATACAGGAGTTCGTATAATTTTCTTTTGTGTTTTACCAAAAACATTGCATCTGGTTGTTTTCTCCTCTTTCCTTTCTGATCTTTACTAGCTATGCTTTGTTGTACTGCACTGTGTGGATATTCCTCTGGATACTCTGGTTGTTCTTCTATCACCTGGTATATGACAGACACAGCAAAAATATGATCCAATGGTGGAATGGATAAGGAAGTTACAGGCTCTCAACATTGTTAAAATAGAGTAATATGAGAAATTTATGTGGTTAAATGGAAAGATTTGTTAGCTTGAGAAATTACAAAAGCAAACCAGTTTAGACTGATTTTGAACCATAATCAAAAAATTTTTTGATTTGAATATTTGATAATTCGATTTGAACCATCAACAATTCAAACAATTCAACCATCAGTGGTTCAATAACTTGACTCAAACCAATTACAAAAATTTAAATTTAAAATTTCAATGCATTTTTTTTATTAACTTGAAAATTGTTATGTGAAAGGTTACATGTAGAGTTATCATTTTCTCTTAAATTGGCATAAATCAGGAAAGGTATTAAAAGTATGATTATGCTTTGTCAAATAATAAATATTATGCATGTTGCTTATACCTAATGCTTCTCTACCTTGATAATTTTTTGTTGATTTTTGAATTTTAACCAGGGTGAGTAAATGTGCAGTCCATTGGTCCATTAGTGTAACACTTTAACCATATTTAGTATTTTATTAATGACAATGGACCAGTCCAAAATCCATCTATTTTCAATGGACCAGTCAATTTGCCAACCCTGATCTAAACCAACTAAATGTGCAATTGATCTACCATGTCTTCCATCTTTGGCCCAAATTTTAGTTTTTCCTAATTCTTACAACCTTGCAAAATAAGAAATTTTTTCCATCCCTTTCTTCTAAAACTATCCAGTCATATTTTTTGAGCTATTTATTATTGAACTTAGATAATCTTTTTCAAATCTAAAATAATAATTAATGATCAGTATGAACAAATTAATTAATAAATATAAATTATAACAATTCAAAATAATATATAACCTTCTAATTTTATAATTATTGATAGAATAGATGAATTAGGTTCAATTATCTAAATTGTATTAATTAAGGAACATCAACATCTTGTATTAATTCAGCAACATCATCTTGTAATGACACTTTGTGTACCCTTAGAAATGCATCCATTTCCTTTCCTGTGTTCAATGGTTTCTGTATCTTGAAGTTTTTTAAAATTATATTTGATAGTATGAAGGGGAATATTAGTTTTTTGATGTATCTCCTTTGGTGATTGAGTACCACTAAGCCAGTAATGGAGAATTGTTTGTTGTTGGCTTCCAGTCTCATGTTAACCATAGTTGCAGGAAAGGAAAAATAGAACCCCCTATTGTTTACAACTGTGTAACAAATGATTTTCAATTGTTTTAAAGTAGGGGGTGCTATCTTTTGGGGGTTCTATCTTTTGGAACTTTATGGTACAGTCAGCATGATGGAAGTTCGATTTATTACATTTATCACTTTGTGATGATCTTGAAATTATGTTGTATGACTATAATTTTAAAGTAGATTGTATATGTAAAATCACATTTTCAATTGACAAAAAAATTGTTTACATAATAATTTTCAAATAAACTTTGTAATTATATATGAGATTAAAAAAAAAATATAGTTTCTACTTGTGGCATCTCTAATGAAATAATTTTCACAAATTTTTATTAGAAGCGAAGGAATTTTAAATAGTAACTTCACTTTATATATTACGAAAATAGATGTAATACGGGATAAAATAATACTAAACTAATAAAAATAAGATTATTAAAAATAGAAATAAATAAAATAAAATAATAATAAAAATAAAGAATTCGGAATTGGTTAAATTCGGCCAAAAGAGCCTCCAAATCTAATTCCGGTAAACCATTTTTTGCAATCAAGATTTCCAAATGCGTATTTTTTTTATGTAAGATAATGGATTGTGCCTTGCATGCCGAATTTCGTTTTGCGTCACGATTTGCGTCTTGCGTCAACGTGTCAAATTTATGATTGGTGACGCAATGTTCAATTTTCTAGATTTTTAATTGCGTCTGACGCAATTTAATAATTTTGACCACATGTATAAGCTATATGATTTAGGATTAGAAGCAAATGAACCAAATGAATTGGTATTTGAAGCAGTTCAGGATTTGAAATTATTTTTTGAAAATGAATCAAATTGCAAATGTCGTAAAACAAAAGATAGAATATGTTTTAAAAAAATTGGCTTTAGAAATTTTTTAGAAAGACAACTCCAGTTAAAAGGATTAGAAGGCAATGAACTGGATCTTTGTATTAAAACACAATTAATGGTTTTTAAATTAAATTATGAGGGTGATGATGAAGAAAAGGATATTTATAATTATCAATATAATTCATCAATATCCATTTGTCAAACAGTTTTTTTAGAACTAAGTGGTTTTAGTATAAAAAAATTAAAGGCCTTGCAAAAGCATTTAAAAACAAGTGGCTTAATAGATCATATACATGGCAATACTGGTAAAGTTCCACAAAATAGATCACATGCAACTGTTAATCTTGAAATTGCACAATTATTTAAGAATTTTTTATTGCAATACTCAAATTTACATGGACTACCATCTGCTGAATCAGAATCAATCATTTATTTACCAACTTATTTAAATTACTACAGTGTATGAGGAATTTAGAAATTATTTTGATTTGGAATATGAATCCATTAAACCCATTGAATATAATACATTTTACAAACTATGGAAACAATTAACACCATATATTAAATTTCAACCACCTAGAACTGATCTTTGTGATACTTGTGAAGCATTTATAAGAGATATAAGATCTACAAATGATGATGATGAAAAAGAAAATATTAAACTTGAATATAGAAAACATCAAACAAATGCAGAACAGGAAAGAAGGGGTCTGATTCATTTTGTCGACAATCATTTCGTCAACAGTCATTTTGTCAACACCCATTTTGTCAAAAGTTTGTTTCATCAAAAGTTCACTTCGTCGAATGTTCATTTTGTCGAAAATTATTTCATCACAAAAAAAAACTTCATTAAACAAATTTCTCCTTGCACTTCCTACACACTCTGCTTTCCTCACCTAATTTCTTAACTAACTTTCCACACTCCTCACACCTAACTCATTCGGTCTCTGGCTCAAGGATGAAATAATTTTTGATGAAATGAACATTTGATGAAACAAACTTTCGACAAAATGAACATTCAACAAAATGAACTTTCAATCAAATGAACTTTCGACGAAATGGGTGTTGACGAAATGATTGTCAACAAAATAATTTTCGACGAAGTAAACGTGACCGGGAAAGAAGCCATTATAATAAAATAATTGAGAAAAGTAAAAATGATCAAACAATAACACACATTTGTTATGATTGGG